CACGAATAAATAGTAACGTATCATGGCGCAGTGAACTTGTTCTTTCCTGTGTCCGTGCCTTGTGTCCGCACCTTGTAGTGTTTGCACGGGCCCAGTTGTTTTTTCCGTGTGAAGTAGTAGTTTCCGCGATCGAAACTCTGTCTCAGTTGAATTATTATAGTAGTGTATTTGTTCGTACTCGTGGACGAGTGACTAATCGTAATGGAACAATCACAGGACGATACCGGATTTGACCTGTCCTCCGCGACCGAGCGACAGCAGGAATCTCAAATGGGTGTCCTGATGAAATTTATGGAGCAGCAGATGCGTGCAGCTGAGCCTCGTGATAAGGCGATGCAAGATCTGTTCAAGAATGTTCAGAGCAGGTCGCTATCACCATCGCAGCCTCAGTTCACTCCGCAGCCCTCAGCACCAGCTCAGTCCACCTCGCAGACCTCAGCACCACGGCCAGTGAACAGTGTTTCCTGCCCACACTTATTGTCGTCTGCGACGCTGGCTGATTTTCACTCCTTCGTTGAAAGCTGGAGAGATTTTAGTGTTTGCCAGCATTTGGCCAGCCAGGCTCGTGAGGCCAGAGTGGCAACACTCCGTCAGTGTTTCGATGAGGAGCTGCGACGTTTTATCCGAGAGGATATTATCTGCATACCAGCTTCAGCTGACGTCGACCTGATGCTGGAGCGCATTCAGGCGTATATCAGACGGCAACGTAATCCACTGTTGGACCGCAAAGAGTTTTACCAGCGTGTCCAGCAAGCTGGAGAATCATTTGATGCGTTTTACACAGCCCTGTGTGAACTACAAAGTGCATGCGACTTCTTGTCACACAGCCTATGTGGAATGTGTAATGCTCGCTGCTGTGCGCAGTGCAAAGGCCTCGGCCGTACCCTCAAGGAGGAATCTCTGCGCGACCGCGTCGTCATTGGTGTGCAGAACGATGAGACGCGACACAAGTTGCTCGCAACTCATGGTCTCACGCTCGACCAGGCTGTCACCCTCTGTCGGACGGAGGAAGCAGCATACCACACCAAAGCACACATGCCCAGTCCTGGCCTCCAGGCAAGTGCTGCCAAGCAGTCGGCGTACAAGCAGCAGAAACGTCACAAGCCAGCTGACTCTAAGCCAAGTCTGACATCAAGTGCGACCAAGTCTTCTTGTCCGAATTGTGGTCGCTCTGAGCACACGAAATCTGTATGTCCTGCCAAGGACAAGAAGTGCAACTCCTGTCATGGCATTGGACATTTTCAGCGAATGTGCAAGCGCCAGAAACAGCCGAAGACTAGCTCTGCTGCCAAGTTTTTGACAGCTGAAGCTACAGCGTGCGTCTCGCGTGGACCGTCGCACAGTACCTGTTTCGACCATGCTGCAAACAGAGGATCAGCCATCCCAACTGTCCTGGACACCAGACACAGGCAGTGACGTTGATGCCATTGGCGAGGAGCACCTCACGCAGATCGGTGGGTTCGTCGAGAACTTAGATGACCACGATTGTGTGCAGGCTGTGACCATTGAGCCGCTATGCAACCTGGGCAAGATACGTGCGACTCTACGAGTCGGTGAGACGCAGCATGAAACCGTCATCAATGTGTACAAGGGTCTACACGATGCTCTGCTCTCTCATACCTCATTGCGTGCGCTGAAGTTTCTCCCACCTGATTGGCCAGTCCAATTCACCGCTGAACACGAGGGTGCATTTTCACCCAAGATCTGTGCAGCTGTTTCGTCATGCGCTCATCCTAGTGATGCTGAGTTAGCGCGGACACGTGAGCAGCTCCTGCAAGAGTTCGCTGACGTTTTCTCGGATTCCGGTCTGAAGCCAATGGAAGGTCCGCCAATGGAAATTGAGCTACAGCATGATTCTAAGCCTTCCTGTGTGTACACTGCTCGACCAATACTGTATGCGTTCCGTGACCAGATCAAGACTCAGCTCGACGGCATGGTCAGCGACGGGATTATTGAACCAGTGACGGAGCCCAGTGAATGGTGCCATCCGATTGTCATAGTAGTCAAGAAGGGCAGCACTGAGAAGCGCCTCACAGTTGACTTCAAGCGGCTGAACAATCAAGTCCGTCGTCCCGCGCATCCCGTACATACGGCACGTGACGTTGTCTCTGGAGTTGGCTCTGCTAAGTTCTTTACGAAGCTCGATGCAAGGCACGGCTACTGGCAGATTCCTCTCAGTGACACTGCTCAGGAATTCACCACGTTTATCACCCCGTACGGCAGATATCGTTAACTACGGAACCCGCAGGGTCTAATATCTGCTGGGGATGAGTTCAACCGGCGCACTGATGCTGCGTTCTCTGCCATCCCGCGTCTCGGCAAGGTAGTCGATGATTGCCTAGCGTACGACGACAACTTTCTGTCGCATGTCAGCCACGTGCGCGAGATTCTGCTCTGCGCCAGGGAGCATGGTATCACGTTCAGCCCCGCCAAGTTTGTGTTCGGTACGCAACGTGTCCATTTCTGCGGCTACAACGTCACGCCTGATGGCTGGGTCGTCGGCGATGATAAGACGTCCGGTATTCGCCAGTTTCCAGTACCCGCCAACAGAACCGATCTCCGTTCGTTCCTCGGTCTAGTGAACCAATGTGGTGAGTTCACTCCACATCTAGCCGAGTTGACTAATCCTCTGCGTGGCCTGCTCAAGACCTCCCGTGAGTTCATGTGGGACGCTAGCCACACTGCAGCGTTTGAACAGACACAGGAAGCTCTCTTGTCTCCTCCGGTTCTCGCTTTCTATCAAGTTGGTCAAGACCTCCGGCTTGAAACCGATGCATCCGCTCTAAGAGGTCTCGGATTCGTGCTTTGGCAAAAGCAGAATGATCAGTGGCGTATTATTCAGTGTGGATCCCGCTACCTGTCTGATGCTGAAACACGTTATGCTGTCATCGAGTTGGAAATGCTCGCTGTAGTATGGGCCGTGCGCAAATGCCGCATCTACCTGTCTGGTGCGCCATTTGAAGTCGTCACTGTAGTGGTTCTACAAACGCACCAAAGACATCTTGTAACTAGCTTCGTTACTACAAATCACAAGTGTGTGGCAATACAGAGAACGACAGAGAGATCAAAGGAAAAGCCAGGCAGGCAAGTACAGCTAACGTGCGTACGGTACAACTGGCATGTCGCACAGCGCGGCCGGATGAATGCATACATGTTACATAAAAGGATACAATGACAAACAGTGGGATGTGCATCCACTACATCTCCCCTCTGAGATTAAACAGGCTATAATAGAGAAGATGAGGGGTCCAAAGACTATTCGATAATGTAGGTATTGTTTGTAGAGCAAGTTGCAGTGAAAGAGTGATGTGCAGAGACGACGGCAGATACGTCTCGGCACATTGCTGAATTAGCATGATTCAATGAGGCGGTTGACAGGCTGAGGAGCTCTAGCAGAGCGACGGACTGGATCAGCTGCTGTGCCACCGTACTCAACCTCGACTGTCGGCTTCTCTGCTTCTAGCAGTGGCAGTCGGATCAAGTGACGACGATTGCGGCGAACAGTAGAGTGACCAGACTCAACGAGGTAAGAACGATTGGACACTTGCTCTACTATCTTGCCCTCCCGTTCGAGATCGGTGATGAATACACGGTCATGAAGCTGTAGAGTCGCGAGAGGCTTAGCTGCATGCCGTTGGTCGTAGTGCAACTTCTGCTGTTCCTGGGACTGAGTTTCCGATTCCAGAATACTAGGGAGATCAGGCCATTTCGGTTCCAGCTGTTCAGTCGTTGCAGGTAGACCGGTACGGAGCTGGCGGCCATACAACAGCTGACATGGGGCATAGCCGTTGCTCAGCGGTGTCGTGCGGTAAGCCAAGAGTGCATCTTGCTGGCTTTCGGCCTTCCGCAGGAGATTCTTGGCGGTGCGAACTGCACGTTCCGCTTCGCCATTCGACTGAGGATACCGTGGACTGGAAGTGCGATGGGTGATGTCGTTTGCTGTGCAGAACTCAGTAAACGCTTCGCTGGCAAACTGAGGACCGTTGTCTGTAACCAAGGTGGACGGGAAACCATGCTCGGCACAGATGCGGTGCAGATGCTTGATGACAGCAATCGAGGTTGTGGCAGTCAGCGGTACGACATCGAGGTAACGCGAGAGATAGTCAACAATGACGAGGTAAGTCGTGCCGTTGAATTCCATCAGATCTGCACCAACCGTGTGCCACGGCAGTGTTGGGCGTTGGACGGGTTGCAGTGGTTCGGTCGACTGGACGCGGTGTTTGGTGCACACTTCACACGTAGCGGCCATCGTTTCGATTTGCCTTGACAAGCCTGGCCACCAAATGAAATGGCGGGCGCGAGACTTGCACTTCGGTGCACCTTGATGTCCCTCGTGGAGCTTCTCGAGCATCTCAGGCTGCAGAGAGGGTGGCATGACAATGCGGAAGCCATGGTACAGCACACCTTGCTCACAGGACAGTAACTGGCGTTCATGGAAGTATGGGCGCACAGTGTCGTCAACATCACGTGGGTTGCACGGCCATCCGTGTTGGACGAAGTGGAGGACTTGCTTGAGCGTCTCATCTTGTGTGGTGGCGTCAGCAATGTCACGGGCTTTACCATCCGACACGATCTCGCCGATGTAAGATGCGAGGTTGATGCTGATCTCGTCTTGGAGACTAGGCGTGTCGTCACAGGCGAGCGGAGCGCGAGACAGAGCATCGGCAACAACTAGCTCTTTGCCAGGGACACACACGGCGGCTGGATTGTACGTGAGCAGGCGCATCAGGAGGCGTTGACATCGCATCGGGACACGGTTCAAATCACGCGTATTGATCAGCGGGATGAGTGGTTTGTGATCCGTCTTGACAGTGAGGGACGAGTTGCCGTAAATGTAGCCGTGGAATCGCTCACAAGCCCAGACAACAGCCAAGCACTCCTTCTCGATCTGCGCGTACTGTTGCTCAGTAGTGGTGAGGCTGCATGAGGCAAATGCAATGGGGCGCATTCCGTCGTCATGCTCCTGCAATAGGACAGCTCCCAAGCCGTAACTGCTGGCATCAGCGCTGATGACCGTGGCGCTTGATTGGGTCGAAGAACGTGAGGCAGGGCGCATTGGTGGCAAGCTGTTTGAGCTTGTCCAGGGCCTGTTGTTGTGTAGCAGACCACTCCCATGCGGTGTCATGCCCCAGTAGAAGACGCAGTGGGGCGCTGACTTCTGAGAGATTGGGAATGAAGCGTGACATGAACGCGAACATGCCGAGAATGCGCTTCAGTTCCGTGACGTTCTTGGGCGGCTTCAGATTAGCGACGCTGGACACTCTCGCTGGGTCAGGGTGGAGACCTTTGGCGGAGAAGATGTGACCAAGGAACTTCACTTCGGCCTGACGCTTGTGACATTTCGTCATGTTCAGCGTGACGTTGGCTTTCTGCAGGATGTCTAGTACGGCAGCTAGGTTACGGTCGTGTTCTTCTCGCGTACGGCCAGAGACAATGATATCGTCCATGTAGACGAACACACCCGGGAGCTGGTCCAGAAGGTTGGTGAGACGCTTCTGGAAAATCTCAGGTGCTGATGTGATGCCGAATGGCAGTCGCTTGAAGTAGAACCTGCCGAACGGCGTGATGAAGGTGGTCAAACGGGCAGAATCGGGACTGAGTGGGACTTGCCAGAATCCGTTAGCAGTGTCCAATGTCGTGAACACAGTCGCTCCGGCCAGTGAAGACAGGGCATCTTCTAACGTTGGCAGCTGAAATGTCTCCCGCTTGACAGACGCATTAAGACGCTTCAGGTCGACACAGATGCGTACCTTGCCGTTAGGTTTGAGGACGGGCACCATAGGCGAACACCAGTCTGTGGGTTCGTCGACACGCGCAATGATGTCGCCATCTTCCATGCAGTGCAGTTCTTCACGTACTTTCGAATACAGGTGATGAGGAACTCTGCGAGCTGTCAGGCAGTGATACGGTGTGGCGTCGGAAGTTAAGTGAATCTGCGCAGCAGGACCAACCATACACTGTACGAGTGGGACTGGACCTTGCACTTCAGCCAGACGCTGGACTAGACCCAGTGCTGTGCACGCAGATCGGCTGAGCAGGCTAGTGCTGGCACCATCTAGAACAAAGATGGGTATGGTAGTGGACTGAGATTGAAAGGAGCATTGAGCCTCAAATACACCCAGGACCTGCATAGTCTGGTCATTCGCTCCTCTCAGCTGGGCACTAGTAGCAGATAAGGACGGCTTGGGCTGCAGTGTATTGTATGATTGCACGGACATGGTAGAGACATCAGCTCCAGTATCTAGCTTGAACTGGACTACACTCTTTCCGATAGCTAGATCTGCCAACCAGGGTGAATCACTTACACTTTGTGCGCACATCGTGTGGCCAACAAATAGAGAGTCCGGAGAGTCGTTCGTGACGGCAGAGGTGGATGGTTTCGATCGGCAAACTCGCGCGAAGTGGTTGCGCTTGCCACAGGCTTTGCAGTACTGGCCTCTGGCTGGGCACTGATCGCGTTGCGAGTGGTGGCTTCCACCACAGTTCGGGCACTTCGATTCGGTCGCAGGCGGCGTTGCTGCAGATTTGTAGCTACCATGCGGTCTGCTCTTCGGCATAGATCGACCACCACGGTGCGACTGGACAGCTGAGGCTGAGGCATCATCGTCTGAAATCGAGCTGGCGGCGGCCAAGCCACTGCGCGATTGGGCTGCAACCTGTTGCTGGACAGCTTCGGCGTGCCGTGCGAACGCAACAACTTTGGCGAGAGTTTGCTCGCTCGTGTCTTTCATCTGCAACTCCCGACTCACCCGCTTGTCCAGCATGTGGGCGACGAAGCGGTCTCTGATACGCTCATCCTTCGTGCCAGCAAACTCACAATACTCTGCAGCTTTGTACAGAGCACGGACAAACTCCTCTACGGTCTGGCTGGGTTGTTGTACAAGCTGTTCAAATTTAGCCCGTTCATGAACAACATTGGTAGAGGGGCGGAAGTACGTGTCGAAAGCACTGACGACCTCGTCATATTTCTTCTTGTCGTCCTCGGATAGTCCGAGTTGGTACTCGAACAAGGAGTCGGCGTTGGGTCCGAGAGCATACAACAAAGTGGCCACCTGAGTTTCTCCCGGGTCGGAACTCAGTTTGGTGGCGGCACGAAAACGGGTGAAACGGAGTTTCCGCGCGGGCCACTGGTCCGGTGAGCTGAAGTCGAAAGGCGCTGGAGGGTTGAAACGAGCCATCACCGCTCACGAGGCCAAAGACTACAGGAAAACCAATTCTGACACCATGTAGTGGTTCTACAAACGCACCAAAGACATCTTGTAACTAGCTTCGTTACTACAAATCACAAGTGTGTGGCAATACAGAGAACGACAGAGAGATCAAAGGAAAAGCCAGGCAGGCAAGTACAGCTAAAGTGCGTACGGTACAACTGGCATGTCGCACAGCGCGGCCGGATGAATGCATACATGTTACATAAAAGGATACAATGACAAACAGTGGGATGTGCATCCACTACAGTCACCGACCACAAGCCCCTGATTCCGATCATCAACTCATATTCGTTGGATCAGATCGAGAACCCGCGTCTTCTACGATTACGCCTCAAGCTCCAAGCCTATCAGCTGCAGGCATCTTGGCGAAAAGGTTCTGAAAATGCCTTTGCCGATGCGCTGTCCCGGAATCCTGTTGGCATTCCTTCCACCACTGATGAGCTTGGTGAAGCCCCGTCGCTTCATTGCCGCAGCATTCAGATCTGCATGGTGCACTCGGACACTGAGCCGAATGCGAATCTCAAGGTTGCAGAGCGGCGTGAAGCTTCAGCTGCAGATGCCACGTACCAGTCATTGATTGAGTGTATCTTGACTGGATTCCCTGATCGCCAGCAGAAGTTGCCCGCTCCGTTACGTGCGTACTGGAATGGACGTGAGCATCTCTCCGTCGACCATGGCATTGTGTTGAAGGGCAACCGCATTGTTGTCCCTGAATCATTGCGTGCTCAGGTATTGCACAACCTCCACGCTTCACACCAAGGCCTAGTGCGTACTAAGTCTCGTGCGCGTCAGCTTGTATACTGGTCCGGTATCACCAAGGACATTGATACACTCGTTCGTTCTTGTCCTGCTTGCCGCGAACACCAGTCGTCCCAGCCAGCTGAGCCCCTGCTTAACGACCGCACCCCGACACTACCGTTTGAATGTGCACCTGCCGATTTGTTCACTTGTCAAGGTCACGACTTCCTTGTGTATGCAGATCGTTTGACCGGTTGGCCCTGTGTCGCGCGTACTGGCCGCACCACCTCATCGCATGACGTGATACTAGCATTCCGTCGCTGGTTCTCTGATGTTGGTGTTCCTGCTGTGCTGTGTACAGATGGTGGTCCCCAGTTCTCCTCGCATAAGTTTGCTGAGTTTTGTAAGCGCTGGCAGATAAACCATGTCATGTCCTTTCCCCACTACCCGCAGAGTGATGGGCACGCCGAAGCTGCTGTCAAAGCCATGAAGCGTCTTATCACCAAGACAACCGTGAATGGCAATCTTGACACAGATGACTTCCGCCGAGGGCTACTGGAATGGCGAAACACACCTGGCTCCTCTGGTCAGAGCCCCGCTGAGCTCCTATATGGCCGCTCTCTCCAGTCATTCGTCATTGCACATTGGAAGGAGTTTGATTCATCCTGGCTCTCCAAAGCGACGACACGTGATGAGACTGCCATGCCATCCGACGATGCCGTCACAGAAAAGTCGTCAACTCGTCGCTCGTTGCCGCAGCTCCGCCTCGGCACCCACGTGGATGTTCAGCATCCGCGCACCAAGCAGTGGTCTATTCGTGGGGTCATTGTTGCTGTCGGTAATCATCGGGACTACCTAGTGAAGTTGCCGAGTGGTCGCATTTATTGGCGGAACCGCAGATTCCTGCGTCCGTATCGCCCACTTGTGCCTGCACCGCTCGTTGTCCAACCGGCTGCTACTGACGCCTCTTCCCCGCCACCGCCGTCCCGCCGCAGCGCACGTCAGTGCAAGCCACCCCAGCGTTTAAACATTGGTTCGCATCATGGACAGTCTTATGATTGACACTCTTGATCACTAATGTCAATTTCTGCTGTCTCTGCTTTGTTGTTTTCATTCTTCATTTTGTTTTATTTATGATAGATGTTGCTGTCACAGGTTTCGCAACATCTCGAAGGGGCGTGATGTGTATCTATATTCATTACGTCATAATTGTACTGAATGCACGCACACACACGGATTAGTTGAGTGTGCTTCTTTTTCCTGTTGTTCTTTCTCATGACATGTTTTGTTTCCGTTCCCAAGTCTTCACGAATAAATAGTAACGTATCAACCTTCAGTCGCTACGTGGAAGGGAGGCGTATTCTGTGCTAAAAGAGAAGTTAAGATGCACGGTATTTCTGACGTGACGCGAAAGTTCAGCTCGCGTTATTTGCTCGCACGTCGAAAAATCAACGCGAGTGACCTGCTGCTCACGTCGAAATTTGGAGTTTTACGCCATTTGGAGTTTTACGCCAAATTTGAAGGGAAATTGCGCGTCATGTCGGAAATAACGTGCATCTTAACCTCTCTATTTGCCCACCTCCACTGCAGGCTGTCTTTCGCCCTGCTCCGTTCGAGTGTCATGTGTCTGCGTGGGGCTCGCCAAGTTTGGCAGACTCCAATGGATGTCTGTGCCTCCCTGGCTGTCGTGGAGGCTAGGGTGTCCCGTTGAGCCTTGGCCCGTGATTGTGCGGACTATGCTATGCTTCTCTTGCTCTCTGATCACGTGTGACATCATCATTATGTGATTTGTTTTTCAATCCTCCGCCTTGGCAAATCGTGTTTTTGTTCGTCCGTAAAATAGTTTTGAAATGGAAAAAAATGTAGTAGTAGTAGAAGTTGAATTTATTATTTACTAGGGAACTCCCAACAGGCGTTGCCTTTCTACTGGGAACTCTAGGAAGGACTTGGTGCTTGTGACAAATGCAGAAAGGGGCTTAGCTTGACGACATCCAGGTGGAAGCATGTTCTATCTGTCTGCTGCCAAAAATGTAATTGCATTCAGGCCGTAACGATACGTAGGTCTGGGTAGGTTCAGAGCGGCTGAAGCTTGACCGCGGGTAGCAGCATTTGTGCGGCATGATGCAGAGCGGGAGGGTAAATATCGTGCTTAAAAGAGGACTGGTGCTACGAGATACACACTTAAAAACAAACACAAACAGCTTCAAGTTTACACGGCGAGAGAAAGTATAGGTTATATTTGGTGAGAATGAAATCGATAGAAGTATACTGATCATGGCCAAACACTAGCCTTAGGCACCTATTATTTTTTACCTATTGCTGGTTGACTCCAGTTTGTCTCGGAGTTTAGCAGACAAGCAGTGAACATAACATGTGCTGGCAAAGTCCAAGGTACTCCGAACAATTGTCAGGTGAAACATGCGGCGGCCGGTTATGGAGACATCGCGGCGCCCGTGGCGGAATGAGGCAACCTTGCACTGTGCCTTGGCGCACACACGCTCCACCTGCTGCTCGAAGCTGAGCGACGAGTCCAATAGGAGGCCAAGGTACAGAACATGGCTGGACTCAGGGATTACAGTGCCTTTGCAGGTGATGCTGGGGATCACGTCCAGGTGCGCAGCAGGTCGTCTTAGAAGCAGTAGCTGAGACTTTTGGGGATTCAGCACCAGTCCCTGTTCGCTGAGAGAGTCCTCCAGATTCAAGAGGTCTGTCTGCAGCATTCTGAGCACGGGCGAAGCCTTGCGACCAATGACGTAGAACGGGATGTCGTCCGCAAAAAGCAGAGCACGGCAATGTTGAAATTTCTGAGGGGTACGGCGGATATAAATGCAGAAAAGTAAGAGACCTAACACGGAGCCTTGTGGTACACCACGTGATCAGGGCCCTGTACTGCTGTAGTCGTTACGTCGTTCAACAGCGAACGGCGACAGTCATATATCGAATATATCTGTAGAAAATCAAGTAAATCCTTAGGATTTCTCTCCCCCACTGCTCCTACCTCCCACTTTCTTGCAAGCTTCATATTTATTTAGTCTACCTTCGCCCAAAATTTGATTATTCCGATACGTCTTGGGTTGGATTATCCTCTTCCACTGCTGCAAAGCTTGAAATACGCCACAAGAAAATCCTTAAAATTCATCTCCCGTCAACCCCGCAAGCTCTCATCATCCGCCCTTTTTATAATCACTCACACAACCCCGTTATCACATGAACGCAGTGCACACCTGGCTTCCCTTGTCCATTCTATTAAGCTTGAGTTGTGCCCACCTCATCTCATGTGTTCTAATTGGTTCTCTTGTCTAAGAACTAGAAACTTGCTCTTACTCCCTATGTGTAACTCATCCACTCTTTTGCGCTCCCCTCTCTTTATTGCTTATTCTGTTTGGCTCACTCTACCCAGAGAAGTTAAGGATCTGACCTCACTCCGCCTGTTTAAGACCCGTGCCGCCCCTTATTTACTACGACATAAATAGCTCATTATCCACATATCCTTTGCGGCTCTGTGTTTTTCATTGTTTTTATTTGACATTATCTTTCTTCACGGAGTTGTTGTTGCTGTTCATTTTGCTACTCTTTCTTTTTCCCTCCCCTTACTTTTATTTATCGCCGTGGTTGGCAACCACCCACTCTCTTAACCATGGCCGGTGTTTCCACCGAGTCTTGAGAAGTTGTAATAAATATAAAATTATAAATTATATAAGGCACGGTCCGTGACAGGGTGACTGTTGGACCTAATTTCTTGTTTTTCGAAACTTCTTTTCAATTAGGTTTCCTTCATTGAAGCGGAATCAAGTACCAGTTTTTCATGAACACCAAACAAGTAGTGTCGAAAGGTGTGCCAGTCAAATAATAGCTCCAATAAATAATAACACAGTTCGTCTGTCATGCTCCTGAACTATCCCTAAATACCCTAAGTGACATCAGACCTTATCTTGCTAAAATTCAACTCAAGTTGTGTTAGTCATTGTGTGAGTTCATGGGAAGCGCAGTGTTCGAAATGCTAAAATTTTCCAAGTACGAATCGGGAGTAGTGGGCGCACGACGCGGTCTACTGTTCACACTCAAAATGCAGCTGGTTCGTACGCTTGAGTCCCCGTCTACGCCTGTCTACGGTATGAAAAGTTGGATTGAAGATGTACTTCGAAGTATACTCTTTTTTGCACTCAGAAAATTAATAAGGCACCCATTTTGATAGTCCAGGGGATGGCCCACGCCTGGTAAAAAGAAAAAAATACAGAAAAAAATAAGGCACCCATTTTGATAGTCCAGGGGATGGCCCACGCCTGGTAAAAAAAAACAGAAAAAATAAGGCACCCATTTTGATAGTCCAGGGGATGGCCCACGCCTGGTAAAAGAATAAAATGGAAAAGAATCATAACAAGTACATGAATAGACCTCTAGACAAAAAATGTACATGTCTAGACTTTAGTCCAACGGTCCCACAAGGAAACACGTGCCTCGGCTACTACTACTACAGACGCAGGGTCCCTGGTGACACGCGGATAAGGATCTTGCCTCACGAAGGCACATCACGCTAGCTCGGACTAATGCAAAGCTTAGCTTGCAGCGAAGCTATGCCATCGTCACGGAGTACGGCTCATTCAGCTTGTCAGACAGCATGCTGGCAAGACGCTTGTACAGGGCTGATGCACACTTGCCAGTGCCACCAGTGGCTGATAGCACTACTGGTACGAACGTGGCGCGGTCAACCTCAAGCAGACGCTGCTCATACCTCCGGCCTTTTTCCTTTTCATGACGTGCATACACTGAGGAAACTGAGGCAGCATAGGGGTTGAAAACCCTAATATCAAGAAAGGTGCGCTCAAATCGGCTACCCCAGATTCCGTTGGCTGCAACATCAAGACGAGCCTGATCAGCGGTCGTTGTGGACAGAAGCCGGAATTTCTCTCCAGTGACTGGTTGAAGCATCGGTTCTGTGCATACACCATGCGTGACCTGACGCAGAACGTCATCCGTGAGGTCTCGAATTTCATTATGGTGAATACTGGGGAATCCTCCAGTACTGCAGGACAAGGCATGGGTGACGTCAAAGTTACCATGGCCACATACGCATCCTGAGGGCAGGCGTGCTGGTGTCCACCCGTACCGGAGACAGAGCGCATCGCGAAACTCCGCCTTTTCGTTACTTAAACAGTGTCGTGATTGTGGTGTTTGTCCAAATTCTATTCAGAAACGTGTACATAAGGCCAAAGCGTATCACTCCTTATCCATCGAAAGAGTATTCTTGAAGGATGATATAGCTCGGTCGTCTGACACACTTTGTACGATACAGTCGGAGTTCAAACGTTTGTATCGCATGGCCCGCTCGTTCCTTTCCGATCATGACTACTTTAGGTGTAGCTCACTTATTGCCGACAATGAGAACAAACCAAAAAATAGGCTTATTGGGAAGTATGATAAGAATCTCAAGTGGTTGCGCACTAAACGTTTTGGGTCAATACAGATCAATACAGATACAATCATTAACCGCACCAACATTGAGCTAACTACCGTCCAAAAGGAGTTGCTGTGGCGGGGCACGGACTTCGGTATTCCTCCTGTTAGTGACAAGAAGGAAGTCATACTGACCGAGTTTAAGTTCTACAAGAAACTGAAACAGCTCACTCCCATATTGGAAGCCCAACAGGCTGTGTGCAGTGCCAGCCTCAGGGCACTTGCCGAAGAACATGCCGAGAAACCTTCCGACCGGAGCGGATTCTATTTATCCGGAGAACATCTCAAAGCACGAAGTGAACTTAGTACAAACCATGACATCATCATTACCCGACCAGATAAAGGCCGTGCCACAGTCATCATGAGTAGAGTAGAATACACATCCAAAATGGCAGTCATCTTGAACGATGACTCCAAGTTCTTAAGATTCGGTCCAGTCTCAACCCATGATAAAACTGTAAAAGTATTATTATTACTAGACACAATCTCATAGCATGTGACAAGCATAGCTAATGCAGGGACAGAATCCCCTGAGACAAGGGCGTTGAGCCAGCCACGGCAAAGATAAGCTAGGAAAACAAAGCAAATATGAATTAAAGCAGAAAATG